CTACGCCGCGGGCACAGCTAGTAATAAATATGTCGCAATAAAATGTGTGGTGATATTATTTATTGTATGACACGAAAATTATAAGTTTACGCCGAAAAACCCTACTGAAACGTAAAACACACATTAGAGTTGGTAATAAATAATTTGCGATATTTGTTATTATAAAATCAGCAATATCTGCATCTCATTTTTTCATTTTTTCTTTTTTACTCACTATGTGTTTATGTGTGGATGAGTGTAGCCCTTTTATACCAAACTCGCACACATAATAAAGCTTTGTTTTTATTTTCTTTTGGTCTGTAGTTATAAGTTTTTAGTGCATAATATATTTTGTAACATGTGTGTTGGTGTTTGAAGTTTTTTTTTATAGGGTAAGGGTGACAAACGAGCAGTTGTCACCCGTGAGGTCTAAGATGGAATGCCTCATTTCCAGTAAAAAGGGCCTCCGGCCACCTGCACTCACCAAGCGAAACGCAGAGGTAAACCTCAACTTCACGCTGATTTTCTGTGAGGTCGTGGTACCACCGTGGCCACAGCTGGCCCATCCGTGCGACACTGTCCTGCACTGCCACGTGACTCTACCACTGTTAAAATAATAAATAATTTTTCTTTCTTTCTTTCTATTAATAGCCGTACTTCGAGAACAAAGACATTTAAGTAGTAGTGGTAATAGACCGGACATCAGTATCAAAATTGTCGTCTGTAACTTATGTCCTATAGGATATATCTCCGTTAGTCTTAGTGACATCATCATAAAGTCAAGACGCATTCGTTTCATATATTTAAAAAATATTTTTATAGAAAATATGCCCGGTTGTGCATTAAGATATTGTAAGTCACGATATGGAGCAAAAAATGAACGTGATTTTGGTTTGTTGCCGTATTTATAACGTATATTTACCGAATAATCTTTAAATTTTATTATTTCTAGTAGATTGTTCTAGAAAATTTATCTTTATTGTACTAAGCGCCCTCTGTTATCCTGTAGCGTCACTATTTATTTAAAGTTAGTGATTGACGACGTTTATCGATTGGGGTTATCGATAAAAATAATATACAGGATGCTGATTTAATTATTTACAATATTTATGGAGGTAAAACACTCAAAGATACTATACCCATACCAACAAAATGAGTAGCATATACCAACTATGCTAAGTAGCCTACTTTATGTGGATGAATGGATGGAAAGTAGGACAGGATGGTGGGAAATTTTTTTTAGACATGATGATGAGATTTTCTGTGTTGCTTATGAACATGCTGAGGATACTTGCTGTGTTGATGTTTAGCAATACAGCAAGACTTCTCTTTTACATACCGGGCTTCATTGTCTGGTGGTATTCAAGGACAAAACCATTATAGATCCTGGCTTACAGTGATAAGAGAGTGCTATAGGCTTGTGACATTAAAAAAAATTGTACTGTTAAAGATATTAGATTCAAGAAGTTGTAGGTTAAGCCTGAGTTAGAAAATAAGGTAAAAACTTCAAATAACAATTTTTATTGATGTTGATAGTGTCTTAGTGCATGTTCGTGATTTCAGATTATAATGTTCAGTATTCCTCACTATGCTTTCTTTCACCGAGTCAGTAATGTCTCAAGTTATTGAGCATAAATCTCTTTGAAGAATATTGGTACATAACATACCAGCGTATTTATAATATGAATGTATGAATATAAATTTATAAAATGATTTATCGTGAAACGGCTTTTAAGTTCAGTGTTTTCCTAAATATTTTAGATTTGAAGTGTATTTTACAGTTTAGTTTAGTATCTACTTAACTATCTATAATATTGATAGGTTTAAGCGGATGGCATCCTTGAATTCCATAATATATTTAGAGTTAACTTTAGCACTAACAAAGTTTGATTGTTACAGAGCCATTTGTTAATTTAAGGGAAACCTGTTATTGGCAATACTACAGTACATATAGTTATAAGATATATAATTTGTAAAGCTGTCGGTTTTCTTAATAAAATAAAAAATATTTTTTTTTTGTAAAAGAATGAATTTAAAACATAGAGGCGCTCCCTTATTGAATTTGGCGTTTCTTGATGTGTCTTCAACGCCGATGGACCAATCATATGCTATTATTATAGCTTTTAATGGACCGAGTGACGTCATCCAAGATGCCACCAAGGCGGCAACCAAAGTGATTGCTGTTTGAATTGCTTCTTAGTTATTGGAAATTAATATTTTATTGCATGCCACTAAAGAGGCATAAAAAGTTATAGTAATTTTTTTCGTGTGATGGAAATTATGATAAATAGATTTATACAATGAATCAATCATTTTATTCCGTATTATTATATTTTAAAGCATTTCAAACTTAATAACCTTCAACAACATTATCGATACTTTGGTATCGAAAGGGTAACATTCCTAAAACGATCTTATTTTCTACGCGTCACCTACTGGGGAATAGCTAAAATGTTGTCTTAATAAATGATAGCGTAGTTTTGCTATTTTTAGCTAGAGGGCATCACACACGCACGAGCTTTAAGTTTTTGTATATAAATTTTCCCAATGCCCGCTCTATAGTACATATATATATATAACCCCAAGCTCGTAACAATACTTTACCTCATGAGTGATCTTTAAAAAACTTTTTATTACATTGTCATTTGATTGCATACATACTTTTGAATTACCTACATTGTATTCCTTACATTCAAACTAATTAGATAAGATTATTTTTGTTAGACGTCATGAAAATTGTCTGATTATAAACAAAATAAAGAATCTGATTCAAAATATTTAACATATTTGTTTAAGCCATTACCATCTAAGTATCTTAATTTATTACAAAAAATAAATAAATGTTAAGTAAATACCTCCTAACTAACCGAATACATACAGCACTATCGCATAATAAAAAAAAAAATAAACAAAGAATTAATTATTCTTATTCATAATAAATAAACATAATCATCAATTTCAAATTAATTAAAAAATTAAACGTTTTTTTCGCTTTGTGTGAAATTTTAACTTAAGCAGATAGAAGATATTGGCACTTCACCGTCGATATATAGAATAGCTCCGAACTACCACTCGGAGCGTTGGCCGCTCCCCGGACAGAACACCTTGCCCGGCGGGAGATCTCCCACTTCTCCTTCCACCCGCCACAAAATATATGTCGTATATACAAGAATTATTATCAGCAAAGTTATTAGGAGGTCGCCAGTGATTAGGATCCACGGTACACGTTTCATAAACAGAGGTGAAGAATGCAGAAAACAAATGACATATTTCTGTGGGATTATTAGAATTGAAGTCTTTAAGATACATGTTAGCAGGAAAATTGGATTTACCTTTTCGGTTAGTAATATATTTCCAAAAATTGTTAATATTAATAGGTATAGTATCTTCAACCGAAGCCATATATCTTTGTTAACATTTACCAGATTCGGACGTCGATAAAACGTTTATGACGAACTGAGAACTTTTCGTAATCGAAAATGTTACCAAATTTCTTCCATTTTATCCAGGCGCGTTATCTTTAAAAATACGAATAAGAGCGGGAGAGAACCAGACAGGGAAACGAGAATTTGTTAGCCGTTTAAAGGTCACATGAAAATTAACAATACTGTATATTTTCTGCCGACTTCCAAAAAGGAGACGGTACTCAGTTCGACTGTATGTTTTTTTATGTGGAAATGAGGCATTCCATCTTAGTCCTCACGGGTGACAACGCATCTACATTTTGGATGGATGTAGATGTCTATGGGCCGCAGCAACCACTTACCATCAGGTGGACTGTGTGCTCGTTGGTCACCCTTATCCTATAAAAAAAAAACCCGGTATCGAGTGGTCAACTCATATCGAGAATTTTGCTGTTATCCAGGCATATAATAACTTATTATCCCACCATTTAATTTAATTTTTTAATTAATTTGAAATTGATGATTATGTTTATTTATTATGAATAAGAATAATTAATTCTTTTTAAATAAAACTAATTTTACGGATTTTATCGCGTATATTAACTTATTTTTATATATTCCCGACGTTTCGGGTGCTTTCCAGCACCCGTGGTCACGGGGGACTGGAAAGCACCCGAAACGTCGGCACTATATAAAAATAAGTTAATATACGCGATAAAATCCGTAAAATTAGTTTTATTTAAAAATGTGTAGTGTTCGCGTAAATATAAGAAATCATTAATTAATTCTTTGTTTATAATGACATTTCAATTTATTATGCGATAGTGCTGTATGTATTCGGTTAGTTAGGAGGTATTTACTTAACATTTATTTATTTTTTGTAATAAATTAAGATACTTTGTTTAATTACCGGGTGGTAATTTAGGGGAGATTGAGTTGACCTGAACTGTAGCAAGCGGGAACTTTAAATAAAAGACCACAACTGCGTACTGATCTCGGAGTCGATCCCCGATTCGATCTCGTTTATTGAAAATAAATCGCATAGACCTATTCAAATTGCGGAAGCCGAACGCTAACGCCTTCAAATTAGAAGCCAACGCCATCTATCGAAGACGTTGGAAGCTTTACAAAATGTTAAGTTACAAACATACCGCCCACCAAGGACGTTACTGAAGGAACGTCCTTCTAAAATGAACTAATTATGAACTAAAGTACTATTAATCATTTGAATTGCATAAGTACAATAACATAATACATAAACATAAGTACTTGGCCTGTAAAGATTAAATAATTTAATCTGTTCTGCAAGAAAGCACTCTGGACTAATTATAACAAGTATTTACAATATTTTAAAGCTAAACATGAACTATTCTAGAGCATAGAAAATGAACTTAAAACTAGCTAAATATAAACAACTAATGTGAGCTTAAAACTAACAATATGTAAACAGCGTAAATATACTTAACAATTAATGTATAAAGATATATAATTTGATTTTGCACATTTGGTTTTAAATTAATAAAAAGAGTAAAATTTTGGTATAAGTTGATTCTGCAAATTTAAATGTTAATTTGTTATAAAAGCAACATGTGTAAAATAAAAGAAAATAACAAATATTTATTGACTTACGGGTAAAATGCATAATTTGGATGTTGGTCTTTTGATTGTTGAGGATTTAGTGCGTAACGTGACAACACGGGTGATATTATCATCCCCAGGATGTTTCTCAATGATCCTACCTAACAACCAACGACTTGGCGGTAAGTCGTCTTCTTTGACAAGCACAATGTCACCAACCCTTGGCTCAGAAACTTGGGACGACCATTTGTAGCGATGCATCAACGTTACAAGATATTCTTGTGACCAACGTTTCCAAAATGACTGAAGAATGCGTTGAATTAATTGCCAGCGAGATAAATAACTTATATTGGTGTTTGTGTAATCAGTATCAGGAACATTTAATAATGGTTCTCCAATCAAAAAATGTCCCGGAGTTAATGGTAGTGGTTCTCCAGGATCATCAACGTTAATTGTGCTCATAGGTCGCGAATTTAAACACGCCTCTATTTGACTGAGGAGTGTCGTCAGTTCTTCAAAGGTGAGAGTCGCTTCACCGATTACTCGCTTCAAATGGAATTTTGTAGATTTCACTCCTGCCTCCCAAAGTCCACCAAAGTTGGGACTGTGAGGAGGAATGAAATGCCACTCTGTACCATTCGTTTCGAGGTGTTCGGCTATTGATGACTGAATAGCTGTCAACTGCTGTAACTCCCTGGAGGCACCTACGAATGTAGTGCCATTGTCACTCCACAGTTTGGCACAATGACCTCGCCTTGAAACAAAGCGTCTGAACGCCGCTAAAAAGGCTTGAGTGCTCATGTCACTCACTGCTTCTAAGTGCAGCGCTCGAGTGACCATGCATACAAAGAGGCATATATATCCCTTGTATGACCGATGGCCACGCCCTTTTGTTGTCCTTATGCTAATTGGACCAGCATAGTCAACCCCGCTATGAAGAAATGGTCGAGCTGGGTTGCAACGAACAGCTGGTAGTGAGCCCATGAATTGGTTTTTTGTACTGGCTCTTTGCCTGGCACATATGACACATTTGATGACATGATGTTTGACCAGATTTCTAACCCCAATAATCCAGTAGGCTGTTCTCAAATAGTTAATCATGAGCTGGGGACCCCCGTGGAGGGTTTTATGGTGAGCGTCAGCTATGATTAACTTAGTTAGGTGACTGGAGTGAGGCAGGACGATAGGATGTTTCATCTGTTCGCTGAGCTCTGACTTTTCCAGTCTCCCTCTAACTCTCATGATGTCCTTATCATCAAGGTAAGGACAGAGTGACCTTAATGGGCTTGATTTTAATTGTATATAGCCTTTGTTCTTTAATTCTTCATATTCTGTTGTAAATAGTTCTCTCTGTGTTTTTCTTATACAACTTTCGAGTGCAGCGTCTAATTCTGTCTTTTGTAAATATCCCTTTCTGTATATTTTGTTCTCCTTTAAAAATCTACGACAGTATGCAACAATCCTAACTAATCTTCGTAACTGAGAAAACCGATCAAAGAACGATTCGTTTGGAATTGTCGCTACATGTACCTTTGCTGACTCTTCTAAATCTGTAGTACAATTGTTGTGATTTGGCCTATTGTAAACTACGTTTTGTAGCTTAAGAAACGGTGGTCCAGTAAACCATAAATTGTTTTCTGGAATTGAACTAGGAAGTATCCCTCTCGAGGCACAGTCTGCTGGATTATCCTTTGTGGAGACGTGAAACCATTGCGACGCTTTCATTGAGGTTAATATTTCAGATGTTCTATTGGCCACAAATGTCTTCCATCTGCTTGGGTGGCTGTTTATCCAAGCCAACATAACAGTGGAATCAGTCCACGCCTTGACCCTTTCTTGAGAAATATTCAAGACCTCAGCTGTTTGCGATAGCAGTTGTGACAGCAAGACCGCTCCACAGAGTTCCAATCGCGGAATACTTATTTGTTTTACTGGTGCGACTCTAGTTTTAGCAACCAGCAACGATACATTAATGTTACCATCTGAACCGACAACTCGCAAGTAAACAGCAGCTGCGTAAGCTGTTTTTGGAGGCGTCACTAAAACCGTGAAGTTCCAGATAGTCGTTCGACTTTGTACCAAGCCAACGAGGAATCCGAACCTTGGTGAGTAATATCAACTCTTCACGATACGGTATCCATTCATTTATTAAATCATCGGTTAGCTCCTGGTCCCAATCAACACCTGCAAGCCACAACTTCTGTATGAAGACCTTCGCTATAATCATACTAGGGGCTAACCAACCTAATGGATCGAAAAGTCGTGCTATCACAGAAATAATAGCTCGTTTAGTTACAGGTGCGGTCGTGGGCATCGGGAGGTTCACCGTGTACTGGAAGCAGTCTGCGTTGCGGTTCCAGGTAAGTCCTAGAATTTTAATAGTACTGTCAAGTTTTATTTCTACTTCGTTTTGTTTATTTCCTGATTTATTTGGTTTATATTGTTCTATTGATTTTATGTCCTGTATGATATTGTGATTATTTGTGTTGTCCTTGTTATCCTTTGTCCTATTTTGATCTATTTGTCCTTTTAGTATATTACTTTCTATGTCCTGTATTTTGTTTACTATGTCTTGATTATTACTGTTCCATTTTTGAAGCGCAAATCCACCCTTTCCTAATAAGTCTGTCATTTGACGATGTATTTCCAGGCCTTCTTCGACGTCGTTACAACCGGTCATCAAGTCGTCCATGTAGAAGCAGTTGAGAATCTTATCTGCAGCAACTGTATAATTGTGGCCTTCATCGTAGGCTACTTGATGAAGTGTTCTGACTGCTTGGTATGGTGCTGATGCCGTCCCAAAGGTAACAGTCACTAGTTCGTAGTCCTCGATTTCGATTTCAGAACTGTCTCGCCATAAAACGCGCTGAAACATTGCATCTTCATCCGAAATCCTGACCTGGCGGTACATTTTAACAATGTCTGCTACCAGTGCAATAGGGTGAAATCTCCATCTTAAAACTGTGTGTCTCAAATCAGACTGCAATGTAGGTCCCACCATCAACGTGTCATTGAGTGAGACTCCATTGTTGTTCTTTTCGGAGGCGTTGAACACGACACGTACCTTCGAGGTAGTTTTGTCCTCCCGGATTACAGCATGGTGAGGTAAGTATACCGCTGCATCCCTATTCTTGTCCCTTTTATCTATCTTCCTCATGTGTCCTAGTTGTAAATACTCTTCTATTACCTGCTTGTATCTTTCCTTTAAATCTACATCCCTTCCTAACCTTTTTTCTAAAGATTTAAATCTCCTTTCAGCGATAGCACGAGAGCCACAACCTTTACAAGATGGATTTTCTTCGCGGAAAGGTAATCTTACTACGTATCTTCCACTAACGTCTCTTATGGTAGTTTTACTATACAGCTCTTCGCACTTCTTCTCCTCGGGTGTCAATATTTTCTTTGAACTATTTTGCTCTTCAATTTCCCAAAATCGTCTTAATAATTCGTCATCACTAAGTTGTGCATGCAAGACATTAATTTTTGTTGAACTTTCCCTACTGACAGCGCCAGACAGGACCCACCCTAAGGTAGTGCTTTGTGCAATCAGCGTACCGGACGGGCTCTTAACAATACCTGCCTTAATAATGCAACTGTAAGCATCAGCGCCCAACAACACGTCTATCTTATTGGGCGTGTTGAACTCTGGATCTGCAAGCTGTAGCGTATTAACGCTTAACCAATCTAAAGTAGTGTGTACTTTGTATTCAGGTAAGTATGACGTGATTTTGTTAAGTACGTAAGCGTTAACCGTAAGACTGAATACAGGATCTACTCGCGATTTTATATTTAAACGTACCATGTACGTTGCTTTGGTTGAACTATTGCCGCCAAGGCCTGATATAGTTCCTTGGATCGGGATTTTCTTCAGGTTGAGCAGCTGAACTACGGCCTCTGTAATAAAACATGCCTGCGAACCCTGATCGAGCAAGGCTCGGACCATCTGAAAGTCACCAGAGCGTGACTCGGCCTTTATTAGCGCTGTGGCTAATAAAACCTGTCGGGGCTTGGGAGTATTACCTATTGACAGACATGAAACAATCGGGCCAGCATTAGGTGAACTAACACTGTCGACAGTCGATGCCGTCGAAGGTTGATCCCTTTTGTCCGACTCCTGGCTAATAATATGCAGTAGCGAATGATGGCGCCTTTGACAAACCTTACATGTAGTGGGCTTTCTACATTCCGAAACCATGTGATTGCCGCCTAAACAGTTGAAACATATTTTATGTTTTATCACAAAATCACGACGTGCTTCAACCGTCTGTTTTGAGAACTTCTTACAGAAACACAATTTGTGTCCTTCTAAGCAAAACTCACATCGCATTGATGAACTCGTAGTCAACATTGCCTTCGGAGAGTGAGCAATTGATGCTTTATTAACGTTGTTGCTCTGGTGAATTGGTACCCTTTTAGGATCTAAACATTCTAACGCACGAAACCGATTTTCTATAAAAGCCTTAAATTGGTTGAAAGTTGGTAAGTCATTGCTGGAGTCATTGTTGCCAACACTAAGCTCCCATTGCTTACGCGTCTCGTTATCCAATTTAAATGAAACTATGTGAATTATAATAACATCCCATGTGCTCACGTTAATACCCAAATTGTTCAACGCATTAAGACAGTCACAAGTGGTATCAAGTAACTCCTTCAGAGCTGTAGATGATTCCACCTGCATACGTTTTTGATTAAACAACCGTTTAAGAATACAATTTGTTAAATATTTCTTATTGTTATAACGCTTCTGTAATTGATTCCAGCACTGAATATAATTGGCATCAGTTACAGGTGTGTGGCGAATCAATTGTTCTGCTTCACCGGAAAGGTGGCTCTTTAGGTAATGAAGCCTTTGTACATTATCTAAAGATTCATTATTATGTACTAATGAGGTAAACAGATCGTGAAATGTTGTCCATTCATCATATTTTCCTGAGAATGTTGGAATGGATATTTTGGGCAACTTTACGAAAGAACTACTTGATTTATTAAAGGTGCTAGAAGTATTGGCTTGATTTAAAGAATCTTTAGCTGACCGAATTGTGTTAAGGGTAGTTTTCATTAAGCTTTTGTAAACAATATAAGTATCCTCTGTAGCATCATAAATATCAACAACCCTTTGTGATATATCTTCTGCTTTGAAACGTTCGTATAACTTAGTATTATTTTCTTTAAACAGTGCCCAATCCTTTTCTAATAATTCTTGTCTTGTTTCTACATACTCTATGGTTAACCTATCTTTACCACATTTTTTAAAATTAGTTAGTCCCTTTGTTATAACATTTTGTTGATCTTTTAATACATTAATTAATCCTTCCATTTTATTATTTATTTGATTTTGTAAATAAATAAAATGTATCTAAATTGATTTCAATTTGATTTAACCTTGTAAATAACAATGTAAAGTTGATAAAACTATGTATAAAACTTATTTAAAACAAAGTATTTCAAATCTATGTTGGCAAAATAGAAATCCTAGAAATAATACAAGTATCAAGACACCTTTGAAAATTTTACAAGTGTTTGGAAGCACACAAAATCTGATAGAAATCGGGCGTAGGTTCCCCGTTCCCCCGTTTTCTTTAAATTATTCTAAGTCCTAATATTAACATGCACACAAATTGACAAATACTAAAATAAACTAAGTCTAAAATTGTCATTAAAATTTTACAAGTCCAAGATAGTTCTTCACCTTTTCAAAGTTTAAATTGACGTTAGAATAGAGTTCAAATTCACTCGATTTGTGGACGATGTATATAAACAAATTTTACTCACGAAACTGTACTTCACACAAACACCTTTGAACATGCAAGTGGCGCCCCCTGTGGCTGCCAGCTGTACTGCGCGTGACGTCCTCTGTGACGTCGTGTGATGGCTGCGCCTGCGTCACCTTGCTGCGTCGTCTGGGGTGTTGATCTGAGAGTGGCGCCCTCTGGTGGCCACTCCTTGAACTAATCCGCTAAAGCTGGCTCAGCTCACCGCCTATG